ACCCCACCCCCCCACACACCCACCCCCCCCACCACACACCCCACCCCACCACACACACACTCCACCCCCACACACACCCACCCCACCACACACACACCGACCACCCCCCACACACACCCCACCCCCCACACACACCCCACCCCCCATACACACACCCACCCACACCCCCCACACACACCCCCCACACACACACCCCCCACACACACACCCCACCCCCCCCACACACCCCACCCCCCACACACCACTCCCACACACACACACCCACCCCCCCCACACACCCCCCACACACACACCCCACACACACACACCCCACACACACTCACTCACCCCCCACACACACACACCCACACCACACCCCCCACACACAACCCCCACACACACACCCCACACACACACACACACACCCGCACACACACACACCCCACCCCCCACACACCACCCCCCCACCACACACCACACCCCCCCCCCACACACACCCCCCACACACACACCCCCCACACACACACCCCACCCCCCCCACACACACACCCCCCCCACACACCCCCACACACACACCCCACCCCCCACACACACACCCCACACACACACCCCACACACACACACCCCCCCACACACCCACACACACCCCCCCCACACACACCCCACCCCCCACACACACCCACCACACACACACCCCACACCCCACACACACCCCACCCCCACCACACCACCCACACACACCCCACCCCCCCACACACCCACCCACCCCACACCCCCACACACACACACACCCCACCCTCACACACACACCGCACCCCCCCACACACACCGCACCCCCCCACACACCCCCACACACACACACCACCCCCCACACACACACCCACCCCCACACACCACCCCCACCACACACCCCCACACACACACACCCCACCCCCCCACACACACCCCCCCCCCCACCACACCCCCCCCACACACCCCCACCCCCCCACACACCCCCCACACACACACCCCACCACCCCACACACCCCACACACACACACCCCACCCCCCCACACACCCCACCCCCCCACACACCCCACACACCGCCCCCACACACACACACCCCCCACACACCACCCCACCCCCCCACACACACACCCCACCCCACACCCCCATAACCCCCACACCCCCATAGACCCCCACACCCCATAGCCCCCCACAGCCCCCATACCCCCCACACATATACACACCCCACACCTCCATAGCCCCCACACACCCCACCCACACCCCCATAGCCCCCCCATAATCCCCCCCACCCACACCCCATAACCCCCACATCCCCACAGCCCCCACACCCCATAACCCCCCACACACACACACCCCACACCCCCATAGACCCCCACAGCGTCTCTCACTCACCCTCAGAGTCCGCTGACAGTTGGAATTCCGTCATTTCCGGAAGTCAGACCGTGACCCCGGAAGTGTATCCCCGCCCCGGGGGGGAGTGCGGGTGTAGCGCTCACAGAGGTCAGTGCTGATCACTCCGCACTGCCCCAGAACCCGGTGATTGGCAGTTACACCATCACTGCACCACCAGCACTGCAACACTGCACCACCAGCACTGCAACACTGCATCACCAGCACTGCAACACCACTGCACCACCAGCACTGCAACACCAGCACTGCAACACTGCACCACCAGCACTGCAACACCACTGCATCACCAGCACTGCAACACCACTGCACCACCAGCACTGCAACACCACTGCACCACCAGCACTGCAACACCACTGCACCACCAGCACTGCAACACTGCACCACCAGCACTGCAACACCACTGCACCACCAACACTGCAACACTGCACCACCAGCACTGCAACACCACTGCACCACCAGCACTGCAACACCACTGCACCACCAGCACTGCAACACCACTGCACCACCAGCACTGCAACACCACTGCACCACCAGCACTGCAACACTGCACCACCAGCACTGCAACACCACTGCACCACCAACACTGCAACACTGCACCACCAGCACTGCAACACTGCACCACCAGCACTGCAACACCACTGCATCACCAGCACTGCAACACTGCACCACCAGCACTGCAACACCACTGCACCACCAGCACTGCAACACCACTGCACCACCAGCACTGCAACACCACTGCACCACCAGCACTGCAACACTGCACCACCAGCACTGCAACACCACTGCACCACCAACACTGCAACACCACTGCACCACCAGCACTGCAACACTGCACCACCAGCACTGCAACACCAGCACTGCAACACTGCACCACCAGCACTGCAACACCACTGCACCACCAGCACTGCAACACCACCACTGCAACACCACTGCACCACCAGCACTGCAACACCACTGCACCACCAACACTGCAACACTGCACCACCAGCACTGCAACACTGCACCACCAGCACTGCAACACTGCACCACCAGCACTGCAACACTACTGCATCACCAGCACTGCAACATTGCACCACCAGCACTGCAACACCACTGCACCACCAGCACTGCAACACCACTGCACCACCAGCACTGCAACACCACTGCATCACCAGCACTGCAACACCACTGCACCACCAACACTGCAACACTGCACCACCAGCACTGCAACACCACTGCACCACCAGCACTGCAACACCACTGCACCACCAGCACTGCAACACCACTGCACCACCAGCACTGCAACACCACTGCATCACCAGCACTGCAACATTGCACCACCAGCACTGCAACACCACTGCATCACCAGCACTGCAACACTGCACCACCAGCACTGCAACACTGCACCACCAGCACTGCAACCACTGCACCACCAGCACTGCAACACCACTGCATCACCAGCACTGCAACATTGCACCACCAGCACTGCAACACCACTGCATCACCAGCACTGCATCACCAGCACTGCAACACTGCACCACCAACACTGCACCACCAGCACTGCACCACCAGCACTGCAACACCACTGCATCACCAGCACTGCAACACTGCACCACCAGCACTGCAACACCACTGCATCACCAGCACTGCACCACCAGCACTGCAACACTGCACCACCAGCACTGCAACACCACTGCATCACCAGCACTGCAACACCACTGCACCACCACTGCTCAAGCACTGCACACCAGCACTGCAACACCACTGCACCACCAGCACTGCAACACCACTGCACCACCAGCACTGCAACACTGCACAGCGCACGCAACACTGCACCACCAGCACTGCACCACTGCACCACCAGCACTACACCAGCGCCACTACACCAGCACTGCACCACCAGCACTGCAACACTGCACCAGCATAGCACCATTGCAGCACAGCACCACTACACCAGCACTACTATTACAGCACCACCATACCTGCACAGCACCACCGCACCACTACACCAGCGCCGCCACTACACCAGCACTGCACCACTACACCAGCACTGCACCACTACACCAGCACTGCCCCACTACACCAGCACCACCACACCAGCACTGCACCACTACACCAGCACTACCACTACACCAGCACTGCACCACCACACCAGCACTGCACCACTACACCAGCACCGCCACTACCACACCAGCACTGTACTACCACACCAGCACTGCACCACTACACCAGCACTGCACCACTACACCAGCGCCGCCACTACACCAGCATTGCACCACTACACCAGCACAGCACCACTACACCAGCACTACTATTACAGCACCACCATACCTGCACAGCACCACTACACCACCACACCAGCACTGTACTACCACACCAGCACTGCACCACTACACCAGCACTGCGCCACTACACCAGCGCCGCCACTACACCAGCATTGCACTACTACACCAGCACTGTACTACCACACCAGCACTGCACCACTACACCAGCACTGCACCACCACACCAGCACTGCACCACCACACCAGCACTGCACCACCACACCAGCACTGCACCACCACACCAGCACTGCACCACCACACCAGCACTGCACCACCACACCAGCACTGCACCACCACACCAGCACTGTACTACTACACCAGCACCACCACTACCACACCAGCACTGTACTACTACACCAGCACCACCACTACCACACCAGCACTGCACTACTACACCAGCACTGCACCACTACACCAGCACCAACACACCAGCACAGCACCATGACAGCACCAGCACTGCACTACACCAGCACTATGACAGCACCACTACACTACAGCACCACCACAGCGTCAGCACAGCACCACAGCGTCAGCACCACACCACCACAGCACCAGCACAACACCAGCACTGCACCAGCACTGCACCACAGCACCAGCACAGCACCAGCATTGCACCAGCACTGCACCACAGCACCAGCACCATTACAGCACCAGCACAGCACCACAGCACAATTACACCAGCACACTACTGCTACACCACAGCACCAACACTGCAGCACTACAGCACAGAGTGACTGAGGACTCTCCCGCCAATGGTGGGGCGGGTGAGTTGGGGGACATGGATTAGGCCGGAGCCGACTGAGTGGAGGAGCAGGCGGGTTGGTGGGGGATTAGGAGGTCGCAGAGGTAGGGTGGGGAGGCCATGGGGGGCTTTGTATATGAGGACCAGGATCTTGAACTGGATCCTCTGAAGGATAGGGAGCCAATGGAGTCGGGCGAGAATGGGGGAGATGGGGTCACGGAGTTTGGTGCGGGAGAGGACACGGGCTGCAGAGTTCTGGATTATCTGCAGTGTGGAGGGAGGAGTGGGAAGCCGACAAGCAGGCATTTGCATAGTCGAGTCTGGAGGTGATGAAGGCATGAACAAGAGTTTCAGCGCCTGAGGGGTGAGGTAGTGGCGGAGTTGGGTGATGTTATGGAGGTGAGGGAAGGCAGAGCGGGTCATGGCTTGAATGTGGGGAGAAAAGACAATTGAGGGTTGAACAAGACACCGAGGTTCCTGACTGGCGGTGAGTTGTAGTGTG